AGATAAGATTAAATTGGCTGGAGTACAGAGCTGTACACCCTGCTAGCAGCACAGAGGAAGGACCTACAAAAGTGCTCCCTTGTACACTGCAGTGAATCCATGAAATTAAATGTAATGAAAAATGTTAGCGATATATATATGCTGCTTGGCTATGCATTGCCAATTTTGAATGGCTGTCAATGGTGAAAGATGCTTTTTAGAACCAGATGGTGTAGTTATAGCATCTACCAGTAGAGACTAACAGGGCAATGCTAACCAGCCAAACCTAGAGCCCTTGGATTTAGCACATCATCTCATTAGTAAGGTCCTCCATGACCTAAATGGCAGTGAGACATCCAAAAAATAGCCCCCAGGAGCTGAATTGAGAAACATTTGTAAGGAAGATGTTTCTTGCCATTACTGACTCGTAAAAAGACGATTATAGTGTCCCATATGAGCGTTGTGGGTGATGCCACACGGCAAACTCGCATCAGTGGAGGGTACCAACAATGACAGGCAAGCATCCATAGACTGTTTTCCAATTTGAATACTTCTACTGTGTAATAAAAGTATGTACTTCACTGTTAATGCAAAAGTATATACTTTTGAATACGTAGCAACAACATTAGATGCATTTAGACTATTCAGATGCACTATCATCACCTTTTTATACTGTTGAGTACCATTTAATACGGTTTGAGCTTGCTTGTGTGTGCTAGCATCTAGATAAATTTGTTAGTACTGTGGCAGCTTCGAACTTGTTTTTCTTGACATTTCTGTAACTGAAAAAAAAACATTACGGAAAAAACTCCTCTTTTGGACAAAAAATTAAGTATGTATGTGCTCTGCCATTTGGGATACTATTTTTAGGATTTTGGTTTCACTGGTCTAAATTTTGTGCACTATTTTGGGAAGCTGTTTGTTATAACACAGGAGTGAACATTTTAGAACAAACATACACTACCAAAAATTTAGGGTCAGTTTTTTATGTTTTTGAAAGTCTCTTGTTTGATCAAAATACAGTAAGAAATGTAATATTATTAAATAATATCACATGATCCTTCAGAAATTTTTCTAATATGCTGATTTGGTGCTCAAGAAACATTTCTTATTATAATCAATATTGAAAACAACTGTTCTGCATAATATTTTTGTGGATGTTATGGTGTGTGTGTGTGTGTGTATTTCTTTTTTTTTCAGAAGTTCAAAAGAGCAGCAATTATTTAAAATGTTACATATTTATAATTGTGTAACATTATAAAAGTCGTATTTTTTTTGATAAATTTAATCCATTATTGCTGAATGAAAAAATAATTTATAAAAAAACGTATCTTACTTTTGACATACTATTGTAATCATACTACCGTATAATATGGGGTGCACCATACTGTTTAGGACTGTAAGTCTGTGATATTTAACAAACAAGATAAAATGCAATTAGCTGGGACAGAGCTTTATACTCTGCTAGCAGCAGGGAGGAGGAACATGCAAAAGCGCTCCCTTGTTCACTGAATCAGAGCTGTAGGGGTCTCATGAAAGAGATGACATATTTATAACATACTACTTTTAATAGCATGCAAAATGAGCCACAGTTCAACTGCATGCTACTTTCTAGCAGTTCACAGTTCATTTTTGATTGTGATGTGGCTTGGATCACACCCTCAAACGTTCATACTAAGAGCTGATGAGAACACACTAGTGAAACTTTTGAAAGTGTTTCATTTGAGGGCTCTTGACCAAGACCTCATGCAATATTCAAAAGCATTTTTGTAGCCTGCTGTAATCAGTGTTTTTAATTATATATTTTTCTGCACAACAAAAACTCAAGGTGAAGGAAAATTGTAGTCTATAAATACAGTGTGTGTATTCTTCACTGGATCAGACATTTTTTGGTTCATAGATGATGTTCTTGTGTACAGGTGTGCTGTGGAACTTGTCCTCGTGCGATGCTCTGAAGATGCCCATAATTCAGGATGCTCTGGCAGTGCTGACCAACACAGTCATTATTCCTCACTCGGGCTGGGACACCTCGCCCCACCAGGACGACCGCAAGCTGCACCTGCATTCCTCACAGGTGCTCCGCAATGCTACCGGGTGCCTCAGGTACAGTTCCTAATTAATGTCAATCCAAGTTTTAATTCAACATCTATTGTCTTTCATTGTTCATTCATATTTATGTACAGGCAAAGCATCACTTTGAAGGACCTGTTGTTGCTCTTAAGAGGCTTAATCTTCACCTAGAAACAATTCATTGTTTTATTAGGTGATTATTCAAGTAAGAATTATGCAAATATTATGTTAATGCCTGAGAGTTTCCATCTTTCAAAGCGACATGATATGATGAATTTGTGTGCCTTCAGAAATGTCACCGTATATTGGGGTCTCAGCAGGCAAAAGTACGCCGCTGGATAATGGCTCTCTGCTTCTGTGTGTCAACCAAACACATTTATGAATTAGCTTTGAGGCTTTTCCAGGAGCCCTTCACTGATAGCTTAAGTTAATTGATTTAAATATAGATTCAGTTGCATTTGATGAATTTGGCTGGTCTAAGACTCTGTGCATAAAACCATTTTGTGATGGAGCTCGTTCTGCCACTTTAGTAGGATTATATTCTGCACAGTATTGGTGGGATTCAACAACAGGATTCTGTAGCTCTGGAATAGTGTTAGGCACTGTGATTGTGGACCTGGTGGCATGCCAAAGCCTTCCCCTTGCAAAAATCTCCTTTGGACTCCAAAGCAATTATGTTGCCTGTTACTTTAGCTACTCCATTCATTATAATATATTAAATAAATTAATACTAGGGCAAGGATGCATTAAACTGATGTCTTTACTGAAAGTGACAGTAAAGACATTTATATTGTTACAAAAGTTTTCCATTTTAAATAAATGCTGTTCTTTTGAAATTAATATTCATCAAAGAATCCTAAACAAAGAAAAACATGTATTTTGAAAAAATATTAAAGCAGCACAATTGTTTTGAACATTGATAATAATTAGAAATGTTTATTGAGCATCAAATCAACGTTAGAATGCTTTCTGAAGGATCATGTGACACTGAAGACTGAAGAAATGGCTGCTGAAAAAAATCAGCTTTCCCATCCCATTATTAAATTACATTTCAAAATATACTTAAATAGAAAAGTTATTTTAAATTGTAATAATAATATTTCAGAATAGTACTGTTTTACTGTAATTTTATATCAAATAAATGCAGCCTTTGTGATTTTTATGTTATAATATTTTTAATATATTTCAATATATTTTGTCCTAAAATTTGTCTAAAACATAAAAATGTTGAATAATAACTTTTATGTATTGCAGATCTAAACATTTTCATTTGCTTGTGGTTAGCAAGCTAAGAGTATTGCTCGATAGCTTATCTTAAAGGGGTCATCAGATGCCCATTTTCCACAAGTTGATATGATTCTTTAAGGTCTTAATGAAAAGTCTATAACATACTAAAATTTCTAAATGGTAGTGTAAAACAACACCCTTTTTACCCTGTCAAAATCAGCTCTGTTTTCAGCCAGCCATTTTAGTCCATGTTCCTTTAAATGCTAATGAGCTCTGCTCACCCTGCCCCTCTCTTCCGTGGGGTGATGAGCCGTTCTCATGAGACTGTTTACTTCAGCGGCTCAGATGTCGGGAGTAAATGACAACTGCTATGTTCATTATTACATCCAACAACAGAACACCTCAATTGCTTAGGAGCCATTCTTGTCTACTCCTGCTCCGGCGTCGAAACAATGGAGGACTGATGACAGCTCACGTCAATCAACAATCGTGGGAGGGCCTGGGTCTGTGTGACATCACACAGACAGGCATCTGAGAATGGCTTGATACGAGAAAGGCGAAATTATTTAACGAGATTTTTAAAAAATCACGGTGGATATTTATCATTATAGGGTGGTTGTGTACACACACTGCCAACACACATTTCAGTTCAAACAACTTGTAAAAGTGCATGTCGCATTCGATGACCCCTTTAAAGGGGTCATGTGATGTTGCTAAAATGAACATTATTTTGTGTATTTGGTGTAATGAAATGTGTTTATGCGGTTTAAAGTTCAAAAAACACATTATTTTCCACATACTGTACATTATTGTTTCTCCTCTATGCCCCGCCTTTCTGAAACGCGTCGATTTTTACAAAGCTCATCGGTCTGAAAAGCGAGGTGTGCTGTGATTGGCCAGCTATCCAATGCGTTGTGATTGGCCGAATACCTCAAGCGTGAGACGCAAATGTTACGCCCCTCACATACTGTTGATGCCGTGTCCTGGCCGGAGCGACGAGACAAAAACATTAAAACCCATTATAAACGAGGCATTTGTTGCATCCAGTGGGGACATAATTACGGATTATAATGACTTATACTGTCTTTTCACGCGTTGCGTTGCATTGCGCCGCGTAAACATAAAACCCTGTCTGCATTTGTGATCAGAGAAATGACAAACAACAAGTGCTAACGTTAATCCACACTGCCCAAAACTCGCGTTTGAATCATCAGTGGCAAATCCTTTAAATGAAGAGAATAAAAGTTACGCCTTCTTTCTTTGCGTGAACATTTGGGCGGCGTTATGCAAATCTTCCCACATCGTGACGTAGACATGTGGGGGCGTGTTAGAATGAGCTGTTTTAGGTAGGCGTGGTTGACTCTTAACTTTTATAAAGAATATCTCTTTGGATTTGAGACTTTTGTCTTTGCAACTTTACAGATCTTCTTTATGCACCAAGAGCTTGTAACACTTCAAAGAGAAAGGAAAAATTGAAATCGCATCATATGACCCCTTTAATGCTAAACGGTTAACTTGCACATATTATACACAACAAAATTGCCTTTTGATTAACTAAAACAAATATGGCCGTAACGTGACCGACTTTTTGATGAAGCATTAAAACAGCTACCCTTTAGAGTCCAATGGTTTGAATGAAGTTGGATTTGGCACGACACAGGCATGGAAAAACCTTTGGCATAGTGTCAAATGTTTATGTATCTGGGTTGTCCACTATGTGCTGTCTAAAAAGCCTCTCTAATACATTTGACTGCTGTATGTTGTGGCTTTGTCATTTTTATCTATGTGATGAATGTTGATGCATCATGCATAAGTTATGATCGCATTATTTACACATGTTCAGGCCTTTTCATCGTAATGCTTTGATATTGTTAATTTTAATATCATATTTTCCAGTTTCTAGTTTTTGCTAGATGGAAAGGTGTATTTTGGAGCTATTACAAGCTCACTCAAAACATCAAAAAATCTGCAGGTACTTTCGGAGCTCAGAAACTTTTTGCTGTAAAACTCATTTTTATGTTAACAGCACTTTACATTTATAGCACATACTACATGCATATACCATCCTCTCTCCCCCTGCGCATCGGCTTTCAGGTTTGAAGCAGCAGGATTGTAGAAAGTGCTGAGTCACTCTTGGATGGCTGGACTAAGCTCCCTACGCCCAGCGTGATAATTAATCCTCTTCATGGATGGCTGAGGAACTAGAAGTCTGATTGAATATTTAATGGTTGGACACAGTTGCCACACCACCTGCAGCTGCCTGAGACACACAGATCTCTTAGAAGCTTCTTGGAGAGTGCGCGAGAGAGAGACGACAGGATGTGGTCTTTGATTTCTCACAGGCACCTTCAAATAAGGCTCTGCTCAGATCAGACTTCCCGATTCAGGTCTCCCGAGTCTCCAACTCTTGGGATGCTAAGCTTGTTGCTTTGAGGCATGTTGCTGATGATTCATAAAGCTGCTGTTTGGAATTTTTCTACGTTAAAAACTTTCTCGTGTTGCAGAGTTGACTTCTTGAAAAGTATAAAAACTCCGCTGTCCAAACATTGCTCTGTTTGAAAAGAACTTGGGGGAAAAGTGAGTTACTACTCATTTCCATGAAAAGCTTATTGATGTTGAAGACCATCTGCCCTTTGGTTGGTTGAGTATTGATTTAGAAGCTCAGAACTGGCTAAATGTAATCAATCGAGTCAATAATACAACATGCGTGACATTGTGTGAATGTGTGTGTGAATGTGTTCTCTACAGGAATGTGAGCTCAGCCGGAGAAGAGGCCCGCCGCAGGATGAGAGAGTGTGAGGGACTGACTGATGCGCTGCTCTATGTCATCCAGACAGCCCTGGGCACCAGTGAGATCGACAGCAAGGTTTGACCTTCCCTCCTCTGCCTTTCTACCAAAGTATATGCATTCAGCGGAGCGCCTCCGAGAATTCTAGCAGGTTTAGTTGTGCAGTTTTTACTCCCCAACCATTTGGAGCACTTCTCCACTGTTAAATGTTAGATGAAATTGAAGACACAATGCAAAATGGGCAAAAAACCCAGTCTAGACAAGCTTAGTCTCAGACGCACGCCCACCGACCACCCACAGTCCGTTCGCTCACAGTCTGATGAATATTGCACATAACACTAAAAATCACTCATGATCTTGTGTGCATTGTTAGCCAACTATGGACACAAGTTACCAACATAGTTCAGTGATTCAGTGTTTCAGTGTTTCCCAAAACCATAGTTCCAATAAACATTTGTACACAACATCATATAGTTGTGTGGTTGAAACTACCTGTGGTTAGAAGCAGAGTTTCTTGTTTGCATGGCTTGAATACATCATGCTCTTGAGCAAAACAAGCAAGCTAACAGGCAGTTCCATCTATATCTTTAATTTCATATATATACGAATTTCATTGTACATCTTTTAGTTTGAGAATGAATGTGCTGTTTTTGAAGAGTGCACATGTGAATGTGCTCTGGTACTCCGGAGGAGTATGACATAAGAGGGAACTTGTGATTGAATCCAACATCTGTAAATAAAGCGAAACAATGTAGAGCGAAGGTAGTGAACTAGCCTTCAGATGCTGTGTTTATTTACAGCAATAATCTGACATTAATTCAATATCGAACCGATTAAATAACAGCAAGAAATTATTACTCCAGCACCGGTGCGCCAGCATCATTAACAACTGTTCTATATTATTAAACCAACATGGTTTGAACTATTAAAAAAAATTAACAAACTACAGTTGATTTCTAAACAGTACACATTGATCAGTGGGTATTTCATGCTGATTTATGCTTCACTGGTCAAGCAGGTTTACATGCAGTAATAACTGTTTTCAGCTGAACACAAAATAATATATTTTGAAGAATGTTGGGAGGTATTGACTTCCATAGTCAACTGTGTGGTTACCAGCATTCTTCAAATTATGTTAATTTGTGTTCAACAGAAGAAATCCCTAGCATTTCTCATCTAAATCTAGATAAAACCATCTTGGATGCTTTCAAACTGGTCCAAACCAGCATTTTATTTTATTTTTCCCAGCAGGGGCAATAGACGTTGTATTAGACAGACAGTTTAGGTTTTGTTTTGGCTCCTCTAATTGCTTTACCACCAACAATGTTGTAAAAAACAACAATAGCTGCGGTTGCTTTTAAGCAAGCTTTATGGTAATTACGCTGATAAAGTCATGCAGTGACACACCTCTCTATATTGAGTTTTTGTTTGCTTTTCGAGGGGTCTCTGTTACTGGCATAATACTTTGTGAGAACAAGTTTGAATGAGGGAAAAAAGAGCGTCACACTTTAATCCCTCTGAAAGCATTTACAAGATCAAAGTCGTCCTCTTTGTTTTTCCTGCCTCACTGCTCATCACAATAGGATTAGTTCTCCAGCTCTCCACTGGAGACCGTCCAGAGGACTAATCTAACAAGAGACTATTAAGAGTTCAGAGTACAATAATGCACAGCCTTCCCAAAGAGGACAGATTGTCTCGCAAATACAAAAAGTCATTTTGATACTCCCATTTGAATTCTCCCATTTGCAGGTGTTTCCATGTTTTGCCATTTTTGTAATCTGAAAACTTGTTTTCCCTCCAATCTTTGTGCATCAAATGCGCCCCCTTCTAGACCATCGAGAACTGCGTGTGCATCCTGCGGAACCTGTCGTACAGGTTGGCGGCAGAGACGTCTCAGGGGCAGCAGATGGGATCGGAGGAGCTGGACGGGGTTCTGTGCACCGATGCCAGCGGGAAGGATGTGGAGAGCTCCGGCTGCTGGGGCAAGAAGAAAAAGAAAAAGAAGAGCCACGATCAGGTGGGCCGGGGGTTTTTATCCCTGCAGCTGCTGGCAATTAGCATCACTTAGCGGCATTCACGTGCGGGTCGCCTGCGCCGACACTCGTCCTCCTCCAGTGAATAATTATGTATTTTCCAGGCTGATTTCATTTAGTTTCTGAAAACAGATGAAGATAAGGGCATCGGGAGTGTTTGTTCAGCATTTGCATGGCATGAATAGCGAGGTAAAAGGTGGCATTACTTTGCATTGTAACTTTTAAATAACTAAATTGTCTGTGAGTCATCTGTTCCTTTAACAACGATGCAAATGCACATCTGGTTGTGCGACGGTTGAGTTTGCCCTGTCTATTTAATTACGCTGTATCCTAAACAACCAGTGAGCTTTATCTTCAAATATTTCAGTATGCAGCAAAAAAGTACCATGTTATTTCCAATAAATACTATGAGATTCTTCAAAGTACCTCGGAGTGCCATGTAAATACTACTGTATATGAATAATCATTCCATACTATGGTATGATAATCAGTGCACAAGCCACATTGAGCTGGTATGCTCAAGCAGGCATTATTAGTTCTAGTCTGGCTCGTGACATTGCCCAGTCCTGTTTCCCCCTCTTCTCACCATCATTTCCTGATGGCTCTGTACTGTGCTTATTAATAAAATGGCCAAAAATAAAATAGCATCTGGCACTTTCCATGAATAGGGTACAATTTGGTGTCCCATTACACTTTGGCACAAATCCCATGTTTTTTGTTGTGAAACCCCCTCCATCCTTGTTAAATTGTGATTTTTGGCCTGTCCCATCTCCACTGTATCTAGCAATTGAAGCCATACAACAGTGTCATAATTTTTGCTGATATTTAGTTCATTGTTGTTAAAACCATTTTTTTCCAAAAGAAATTTATTTGGCAAAGATGCGTTAAATTGATCAAAAGTGACAGTTGAGACATTTATAATGTCACAAAAGATTTCCATTTCAAATAACTGCTGTTCTTTTGAACTATTCATCAAAGTCGTTTTAGGCTAAACAACTGTTTTCAACCGTGAAAATGAAATGTTTTTGAGCACCAAATCAGCATATTAGAATGACTTCTGAAGGATCATGTGACACTGAGGACTGAAGTAATGGCTTCTGTAAACTTCTAGAAACACTGTTACCTTTTTTGTGATTCTTTCCCTTCTATATGTTTTGTCCATGCTACTTTGGTGTTTATTTATTGTTTTATTGCTAGAAAAAAAACAGAAATCAGGGTTAAGTATCACATATATTGCTAACAAGGTTGCAAAACCCACATAAAAAATAAATAAAAAATAAACTAAATAAAGGCTGATGGTCTATATTTAATAAAGGTTGAGCACCTGCTTTCTTTGTCTATTCTGTTTTGTTTCAGGCCCTATTTTGTAACCTTGTGGAATGTATCTGTTTATGATTCTTTTTCTTGATAGTAACACTCTGTAATAACACTCGGTCTTTCTCTGCTTTCAGTGGGATGGTGTCGGGCCTTTCCCAGACTCTAGTGACCCTCCGAAGGGACTGCAGATGCTGTGGCACCCATCCATAGTAAAACCATACCTCACTCTACTGTCTGAGTGCTCGAACCCGGACACATTGGAGGGAGCGGCTGGGGCTCTACAGAATCTGGCAGCGGGTAGCTGGAAGGTAGGCCCCACCTTAAAACCTGTGAGTAACCCTGCACCCAAAGAGCCACGAACCGAACAAACTGGCTCTGGCACCCATCACCATTATGACTGACACTAATACACATTCATACCTCAGTTTTGTCTGTCAAGGTCATGGAGTTCTACAAACAGCAAACAGATGTCTAACACAAACTTGGAGAACATAGTGAACTTTATATTGAGAACACAGTCTCTTTCGAATGTACACAACCAGTGTAAGATAGCTGATGGCTTCAAACTCACATCTTCAAATGGATACAATGTAGAGA